ACCCAAATGAGTGCCTGTTTTCAAAGTTTCCCTAAATTTTTAAAAAAGTATATTGGTTGATCTTTTAAAATATGAAATACTTTTACCACCTAGTTTTGATTATATTACACTTTGAAAATATCAGGTACCATATTTATTACTAGATTTAACATAATTTAGCCAATAAATACCTATATAAATTAAAAATTCAAAATTAAACACTTTTTTCTTTCCATATGGGACATGAGAGATACATAAATAATGTTAAAACAAAAAAAGAAAGAAAAAAAAAGTTGACCCTTCTGGGGATTGAACCCATGGCCCTCATTTTCAATGTAGTTAACAGTAATTCTAGCCTATTTGAATACTCTTCAAAGCGGAGGTAATGCATTAGGGTGCTAATACCTTAAGGGGTTAAAGGGCAAGGTCACATTGACCTTGTAGGTAAAAATGCTTTCCGATCAATAACTTAAGAACCCTTATGCCTAGGAACTTCAAACTTGGTATGGTGATTGGTCATGACCAGCAGATGACCTATTGATTTTGGGGTCAAGGGGTCAAAGGTCAAGGTCACATTGACCTTGTAGGTAAAAACGGTTTCCGATCAATTAACTTAAAACGCTTAGGCCTAGGAACTTCAACCTTTGTGTGATGATTGGTCATGACCAGCAGATGACCCCTATTGAGTTTTAGGTGAAGGGGTCAAAGGTCAAGGTCACATTGACCTTTTAAGTAAAAACGGTTTCTGATCAATAACTCAAGAACACTTAAGCCTAGGAACTTCAAACTTGGTATGGTGATATGTCATGACCAGCAGATTACTCCTATTGATTTTGGGATTAAGGGGTCAAAGGTCAAGGTCACAATGACCTTGTAAGTAAAAACGGTTTCTGATCAATAACTAAAGAACGCTTCGGCCTAGGAACTTCAAACTTGGCATGGTGATTGGTCATGACCAGCAGATGACCCCTATTGATTTTGGGGTCAAAGGTCAAGGTCACATTGACCTTGTAATGTTAAAACGGTTTCCGATCAATAATAAGAGAAACCCTTAGGCCTAGGAACTTCAACCTAGGCATGGTGATTGGTCATGACCAGCAGATGACCCCTATTGATTTTGGGGTCAAGGGGTCAAAGGTCAAGGTCACATTGACCTTGTAGGTAAAAACGGTTTCTGATCAATTTACTAAAAACGCCTAGGCCTAGGAACTTCAAACTTTGTATGATGATTGGTCGTGACCAGCAGATGACCCCTATTGAGTTTTGGGTCAAGAGGTCAAAGGTCAAGGTCATTACCAGTAGATACTTTATAACCCTTATTAATTGTTTGATCACTGGGTCAGAAGTCATGCATAATAACCTTATCACGTGACTAATTGGCTGCTGATAGGGGGCATACATGTTTTACAAACATATCTTGTTTAAAATATAATATCCTTTTTCTTAACTTTTTCTTAAAGAGATTCACGTTTAAGCTCTTTGAAATTATTTTAAAATGTCTTCAACAACATATATATTAGTTTGTAACGTATGTTATGTAAAATAATTAATTGTAAAATGAATGTATTATGTAAAAAGGAAAAGTAAATAAAAGGGCCTTAAACGTGGTTCAAAAAAAAAAAAAAAAAAAAAAAAAAAAAGATGCATCAGAAGTAAATCTTTGAAAATGAAAATGGAATATCATTTATGGCAGACAAATAAAGAAATTACTTGCTATCAAAACTTTTAAAGCAAACTTCTATTAGATGCCGTTCAAACGTTGAAATCCCGTCAGTGGCAAGCCGTTGTTTCCCTGAGCAAACATTTTAATGATAAATTTTAATGTGCAGTACATATTTTACATATTCTCCGATGTTCGAAAATTGTTTTAAAAGCATAATTATATACATATGTAAAATTTAACTAAAATGTGGTAGCAACCTGATAATTAAAACATACGTGATCTTTAAGCTCATCCCAGAAATTTAATAAAGTTTGCCAAATTGCCACTTTCCTAGACTCGCTAACAGGTTGGAAATGGAAAGAAAGAAAAAAAAAACTTCACTTCATGGTCAATGGAAATAGTATAATTCTATGTATAAGTGTTAGTTTTCCTGACAAAACACACCATAGCTTATATTGTTTATATCCGATGTAAAATGTGCTGATATTAGGTATAGAAAACAACACACTAGCATTGTCTCGACTTTGCAGTTTTGCAAAGGGAAAATTTATTGACAAGATGAAGATAGAACGAGCATCTTTAAGAGAAAACAATGAGCTTAAATGTAGCATTAAAATACCTACAAAATTGATGTCTCCTGTCCGATGGTTATATAAAGTAACATATAGTCTTGTTTATCTGAAAGAGTATTCATCCTTTCATATGCTATATACGATCACTGTTTGTCTAAAGCCATGTTGGCGTAAATATTCATTTGATAACTGATAAACTCTTTCTGATCATAAGATTTTAATGGGTTTATTTTAAAAAATAAAATAAAAAGTATACCACTTAAAAAAATTATTTATGATAAGTCATGTTTGCATAATTATCAAAACTTAAAAAAACCATCGGTAACAATTTTATTTAACAATAAATAGTATGTATTTTAAAATTTCGTTGATTTCTTTTATAACAGGCCGATTAAGAATAAAAATGGTTATACTTTCATTTTTGGTTTCAAAAGATTTTTATTGCTGTTCCGCTACAGTGTACAAAATGTTACCCAGTGACTTCAAATGACTAGTTTGGCTATCTTTTGTGTCTTTAGATTTTGGCAATATGTACAGTTATAATGATTGAGTATATTGTATGAAAGTCAAAATACTTCGTTGTCTAGTTTTTACTGCCCTTATCATTAATTAAATCACATTCTGTGTTATTTTCTTCATGTGTTAAGATTTTTACTTTTTCTAAACACATCATTTCAACACTACATAATGCATTTTTCCTCTGACTTCAGCAAAATTGTTCACATCTGAGGTTATTATGCCTTTAAATGCAAGTTTAAATTGTTAATAAATAACATATAGCATTACAAACAACAACAAAAATCACCTAACAATTAAGTTGGCTGAGATATAGTTTGATATCAAAGTAATGTGTTCTGGTTCATAACTATAGGTTGGTTATATTAAAAGCTTCCATATTCGCCCTGACATTTCTCTATGTTTCCAGTGATTATCGTATTAAGATAAAACAAGTTTACTCTCAAAGGGCTAATAATGATGTGTTATAGCGTAACTACATTACTGAAATAGCCTGATATTTAAATCCAAATAAACGTATATAACATACAGAAAGCAAATAGTCATTAACAAATACAAGATTTTTATATTTTCAATACATAATGTGACAATCTAAATTCCTTGAGGGTTTCTTTCATAATTTGAATGTTACTACATGATGTAACCGTGCTAAGTTTCTTATTTAATTTCCAAGAATAAGGTCTCCAGAGATTGAAAACATTCTAGATGACGGTCAATAAAATGTTGATAATATATTTGAAAGTGCTTTTAAAACTCGAAGTGTTAAAAGTTCATTAATCATCTTTTTCCACTTATATTCTATGGAACCTATTTAAACGTTTGAAGAAGAATGAATGTAAAACTCTTTGTCTAATATTCTTATTTATATAGCTTAGTAACAACCTTAGCGAGATCCAACATAATTCAAAAAAGTGTTGTAGCTAGTATTCTTTCAAAACATGAAGTGAAGAAACTATGAAAAACATCATGGAATTTACCCATTTCTGCCACGAGATTCCAAATAACATTTTGCCTACAACATGATAAAGTAACAGTGACAGATATTCTTGCCAAAAAGTTATGAAAACCAACGATTATCTGAAATTATTGCTTTTACAATTATGTGGTCCCACTTTTGTATCACGGATATGGACTATTTCAACATCAGAACCTATTAAACATTCACCTTTTATTATTCAAAGAAATCAGAAGAATAATTACTTTACAGAAAAGTTCAAATCCGGGATTTATTTCCCGCTGACAAATTTAATCTATATATAAAATATACAATAACTGGTGAGAAACATATGTAACAATTGATATTATACTGTTAAATACAATTTTACATGTAGAATTTGTTATTATTTGAGTAGCATTTTTGAGTCTTAATGAAGGTATAGTAACATTTAAAGATTTTTAAAACAGCTATTTTAGGAATATGTACGTTGAATCGCACATTAAACTATTGTCAACATTTTGTCTGGCCGGCAAAGGTTCTGATTGTCGTTTTGACTCAATGAATGACTATTTATCTACTGAGAAGTCATAATTTATGTCATTGAGGTTTTTCTTGAGCATAGAGGGAGTTTAAAAGGATATTTTATTAAGGAGGTTTTTGTCATAGTAAAAATATTAAGCAAACTTTTCCGATTCATTTAAAACGAACCTTTTTTTATTTAATAATATATATGACTGACATTGATAATATTTTGGCATCTATATTTAGAAAGAATGCTACCATAATAACACTTTTCAAGGCAAGATGTTTTACAAGGATGTGTCAAGAGTTCATCACAGATAGTGAGATGTTTCTTATAACGTCAAACACAGATACCATATCCATAACAATAAATTCTTTCTTGGTTTCAAGTTATATGATAAGGAAGAGAATATTTATATGTTCATCTTAATGCTTTTTACTACGACTATCATCATATCCGAACAATTTTCTGAGCTTGTGCTAATCTCCTATTGTAAGTAATTCTTTTATCTTAACTTGGGGCATTGTAAACGCATGCGATAAAATAGTCACGTACTTACAGTGCAGTAACAACAATTCTTAAGATTAAGCTTAGGTTTGCATTAAAATATTAAATGAAGTTTGTCAGTGTTGATAATTTTCAGAAACATACAAGCCTATGCAAATGAACAAATTCTTGTGAAAAAAAAACAGACGGGTACGTCAAGAAATTCCATCGGGATATTACAAAGTTGATTGTGAATACAGTAACACATATTAATACATACATGTTGTGATGTTCAATAATAAAGTTATTATTGACAACAATAATGCAGTTAATAAATGAATAATGAAATCTAATTCAAAAACTACAAACTTATTACTGAATACATTAACAAAAATATGAATACAGTCACAAAGTAAATAATAAATCTAATTCAGAATTACAAACTTATTAACGAGTACATTAACAAAAAAATAATGGATACAGTCACCAAGTTAATGTTAATTATAAATACGGTAACATAAGAAACTTATAATTCATAAAAGTGACAAAGTTTTTCATTTTTCATGAATTCAGTTACAAACTTACTAATGAATACAGCAATAAACTTATTAAATGATAACGAATACAATAAAACCATTTTCAGACATAAAATAAGGCCTTTTGATATAGCTGATTCATCAACTGTTATATAATGGATCTTCATTGCCTTTTATAAGCACTACTTCCATTCTAAGTCCGTTTGACATACTCATGCTCCCGTCATTTATTCAGTCGTTTCACTTTCTTACACATTCTGCTTATAACGCCATGTTATTAGGGTGAACCATCATTGAAGAATGTTTTATCTCGTTTATTCTTGCGCACACTTTCTGTTTTATTTTCAATGTCAAGTTGATATCATTAAATGAAATATATAAATTACACGAGTTACACTACACATGAGACACACCTTGTTGGAACGACTTACATTTCATTGTCAAAAATGTGCACCTGTTTCTAGATTTTGTCAAAGGGAAATGTAATCCACATTTTCTTAGCAATTGTATGTCTATAAAATATCTATTATTGCGAAGTTCGCTATTTTTCTTCTGGCTACATGGCATAACAAATTCATGATGTTGACAATGGCATGTTGACACATAAATTATGCTAATGTCCACTATTCTATAAAAGCTTTCACCACTTAGAATATGCACTTGTCAAGACCGGCTTCGACATACTCTGAAAGGGAATGAATGCAATAGTTGACTGCAGATGTAAATTCATGAACTAAAGACGCACTATAAATAAATATCTTAGAAGTAACGATTTGTATAAACAAATAAATAGTGAATATTTGTATATACCGGCATTTGCTTGAATTCGATTTTTTTGGAGAATGTTTTCATAATAAAATAAAAGAATCACCATCTAATTGAACGTTAAATACTGTTAATACCAGTGCTAGAGGAACGATATCAGTAGTAGAAATGTATTTCTATATTGCTGTCATACAAAGAAACAAACAAACCATTAAAATCTATTTTGCCGTCGTGATTTTTGTCTGCTCGTTTTATAAGACTGTCTATTTCTTTTTCCGTTAGAGGGTCCCCGCTTGTGGAAATTGCGTGCCTTAATTCGTCCCGTGCGATGAAACCATCTTGGTTTGTATCCAGGACACGAAAGGCTGTTTTCAACCGTTCTTCTTCAAAGTCGTTAGTAATCATTTTTACCCGCATAGCTTTGAAAAACTCGGCGAAATCTATGTAGCCGTCATCTGAAAGACAATGATAAAGAAATACAAATTACCATAAACCCACAGAAATACAAAACTGACAAACTTTTGATCTCAAACGATAGCTTTGCAATAATTAAATACGTGGCTTTTTTTAAATATGTCGAGCATGCCTTTTCTTGTTTTCTTTTTGCATATACTTTTTTAAAGTTATTTAGTGTTATTTTTTTATAAAGAAACCCCACAAATTACATTTATACTTGGTAACGTCATAAGAACAACAATATAAATACAGAACGTAAAAATGGAAATGTTTGACACACATTTCATGATAAAAATAATGAATTTCGTTTATATAACTGTTCTTTAAACGTTAACTCATGTTTGCTACGATACAAGAACGTCCATAAAATGTATTGCTGATTAACAACGTATAATTACAAACGTCGGTATAAAATCATGTACCATTTTCATCATGTTCCACGACTATTTCATCCAGATCTGTTTTTGTTGGTTTGAAGCCTGCAAGCTTGTACGCTCTCGCAATTTCTTGTTTAGATATCTTGCCGTCACCATTTTCATCCAATGCAGAGAATGACTGAAGTATGACTGAAAAGATAGAATCGGATATAAAATAATATTCAGTATTTTGAACTACAACATACCTCATCCCCCTAACACCGCCTCTAAACTGCATTTTAATATAAACTGAGTAATGAATCTGAAGAACAGGAAAATTAGAGAACAGTTAAGTACATTATTTAAATTAGTGATGACAAAAAACCCTAACCTTTTATTTGGTCCTCTTTAAGATAAGTCTCCTTCGCAAGGCACTCGGTGTCTGCCTTCTTAGTGAATGTTCTTTGGACACGAAATTTGAAGTACATAGAATGAAATCTACCTCGAGCACGATCTGCCATAATCTAATGTTTGTGTCATGCAAAACGTCATATAAGGGCGCAGCGCGTTTCAAACACAAATTATTCTTTAATTTTTTTTAATTTATTTATTTAAACGTCTAATCATTATATCATTTAAAAAGTTAGAGTATCTTATCTCTATGAAGACAATCCATGTAACTGTATTTACGACTTAAGTAGTATATCCTGTTAGTTAAATTATAATTCAATGCCTTTTTACCCACTTTAGAAAATTACTAAGGAATGTTTGCTACTTCTAAAAGATGAATACAGCGTTTCATTAAACCATGAATGGTTTTATTTCAGCTGGATTTGATACGAAAAGAAGTGAATCTTAAGCCGAAATAAACAGTTTGATGTTTAGATAAATATTGATGAGATTGTGTAAAGAATATTCAGATTTGTGGTAGAAAATTTAAGTATAGAGGATGAATGGTGATGTAAATTTAATCATAGAAATGGTTGCCTTTTCATAATGGTTGGCTTATTTACCATGCAGGAACGATGCATTGATAAAATTTCACGGTTGTATAGACTATTCAAACAGTTGTAATATCCAGTTATGCATATCTTCAGAACGAATCTATTTTATTATTTTATGCAAAGTTTTAAACATTAAGTATACAGCGCAGTAAGAAATGTATATTTGTACAATTCCGGATTCATTTATTTCAATGTAAATTTTTTTTTTTTTTTAAATAATTTGGTTGTATGCTTTTAAAGAATTAGGATAGAGTAAAGGAGTGTATAATATAGTTAAATAAAATTGTATGTGTGCTATCATCAAGTTTTTTGTTGTTTTTGTTTTGTGTTGTTGTTTCTTTTTTTCTTGTGGGGGGGGGGTTATTATTATTTAGAAGTTTTAAACATGTTGTTATTTGCTCATGAAAAACACACATTATTTGAATTTCAATGCCCTTTTTATGGCAGATATTTGACAATTAGTTTTAAGGTCATGTTTGCCGACTTCATTTTGAGTACAAAGCTGAATTAACTATATATTTCAAAAGATTGACTGTTACATTGGTGGAGACCAACAGTTGATATTGGAAAATGTTAAGTATAAAATATAATTTTGGCTCAAAAATAAAAAGAGGGCGCCCACTCTTTTTAAAAATTGAACTTAAAAAAAAAAATTCCAATGGATATTTATTAAAATTACCTTTGGCCACATGAGTAATAATATCGTTCATGCGAGGTAAATTTTAAAATTGAAAGGAATTATGGCATGATGTTAACTTATTTTGACTTTCACCTTTTCACTCACTTTTTTCTCCATGGGCATAATATCATTTTAAGTTTGAAAAAGTGATAAAGAGTAGTTCTCCTTCCTTATTTAAACATGTGCCAATTTTCTTAAAATTATGACCTTTTCTTAAAGACTTTTCAGTCTCTGTATATAATATATAGAATAGATATGTACGTACGATTATATATCATCTCTTTATCTGTCGAACAAATAATGCCCTGAAAACTTTTTAAAAATAGATAATAGCGGTTTAACAAACAAAAAAAAACGTCTGCTTTTAAAAGTAGAATTTAAATGAAAAGAAGAAAAAACATAGTTCTTACCAAAGTTTTAAGTTTGAAATACGTACGTATCTTTAACAGTATAGTAGCCAAAGAAGAGAAAATATTAATATAAACTATATTAATAACTTAAAAAAAAACCTGTTGTAATCATGTATCGTCTCATTTAAACAGGCAAATCAATCATATAAGGGGGGTCGGTATACTCTTCCGCATTTTTTTGACCAAAAACATATGTAAGTTATAAACAAAATGTAAAAGTTATCAGCCCACAAATCGACCTGAAATAACAAAAGAAACAAATTCTAGCACAGATTGCTCATAAACGACCCCTATATGCCTTCATATTATCTACACGTATTAATATTGCAAAAAATCGAGATTACATATATAGATAATATAATCATACCCTGTTTGTTACTGTTTTAAACAGTATTAGTATTCTATTCCATCTTGTAAAGTGATATAGCAATTCTGAGTGAAAGGGAAACAACCACTACTGATTTTTAAATTGGTCCAAAAAGCATTTATCGTTCCTTAGAGAGAACTTTTCTCTGTAATGACAAATTAACGGAAAATATGTAGAACTCTTACTCAGTTTATGTGTAATATTTGTGTTCATATTGATGCATCACAAGAAATGTCGAAAGGGAATACTCATTTCACTTCCATTACGGTCATGGTTACTAACTTTATTTTCCTTGCTTATGTTAGTTACGCTAAATATACTATACAACTGAACGTTTTTGTCATTACCCCATAATGTGATTACCACAGGACACCATTTTTAATTGACACAATTAATGAACATATTATTCCTATACGTATTTTGAATAGAATACTTTGTAAAAAATCAATTTGCATATGTATGAAAAAGGTTGTAATATCTCTTTTTATGATTTTTGGACATTTGTGAATAACGACCAAACAACAAGCAGAAATGTTTACAGTTTTATTATTTAAATCAATACAACTAAAAAATGAATGGTACCCTACAATGTAAACGAAGCACTTGTTGTAAATTATGGCGAGAACATGCTCATTTGCTTTTTTTCTATACGTAAGTGATTGCTAGAGAGTTTATTTTGATCGAACTTCACCATCATGAATCTTTTTGTTGGTCTCAATTTGTCAGATTTTCAACATTTTTATAAAAGTAAATTCCTGACCACATGCCATCATGAAACATAACATTTAAGTTAGCTTGTGATTTTTTAACATCTTTGATGTCAGTGTCGAAAGCACCAGTGTGCGGATATAACTTATAGTCACATAATGACACCACCTCAGATGTAAAGCAATAGTGATTATATAAAGGATATTTGTTTAGTTCAGTGTAAGATTGAAATATATTTCACCGAGTGAGCAGCAAAAGGTATATTTCACGAGTGGCGCAGCCACGAGTGAAATATGAACTTTTGGTGTTCACAAGGTATTTCACTGAAACAACGTAAGGGGCTTAAATTCAAAACAGTGAAATTATCAAAGTGGTAATTTCACTGTTTCAAACAGTGAAATTACCAGTTTTATATCACTGATATATTTCTATAAACCACCGAAAAGCATGTAATAAAAACGCGTTAATTGGTAAATATTGTCATTGTCATTATGAAACCACTTTGAAACTATCTTAAACGTGAATTCAGATATTATCATTCTTTTCAATAATATGTGCTTTCTCCAACTTGTTACTCACACTGACTTCTTCTTCTTCTCAATGACGATTTAAGCATTTGTATACGCCTAGTAACAGACGATATTGATGTTGTTTGAGAAATAGCTACAGCAACAACGGATATTTAAATTGCACCTCTAATTGTAAAATATAGTTACTTAAATATCCATCGACTGATGTACTAAAATGCACTAATATTAACCCTTAATTTTCAAAACACAGATTTACACAGGTCAGCGTCCACGAATTCTGAAAAAAAGAAACAAAATATTTGAAGTAATGGATACAATGAAGAGAGGTATCTTTTAAATGAAATTATTCAAACCGAATTTATCTTAAATAATAATAATAATAATACATTGCCTTTTAAAGTTATCTTCGACGTTTACTGAAAATGTTCTTGATTATGTACACCCAATTAAATTTTTCGGAAGTGAACTACATTTAGCTTAACAGTTACAATTATATGAGTTTTGGACGAAGTGAGATTTAAAATTCCTCTGCTTACATTTAACACTACCGTTTTTTACTAAGCACTAGCTTAAGAAATCAGCATACAATGTTTCAAAAACAAATCAAATTTTAGAAAATTGAATAACAATTTTAAATAAGTGCACAAATATTTTCAATCTAAACACTGCTTTTTATGCCATT